GGGGGGTCAACAGTGGGAGGGCGTCTAATGTCCTGGCCCCACTGGTGGACCTCCTGATGGCACTGGTATTTCTGGCCACTGTGTGACACAGAGTGTTGGACTGGATGAGCCTTTGGCCTGATCCAACATTGGTGTCTCTTATGTTCTTAACCTCAGTCTTTATTGGGTTCAGTCTATCTACTGTTTTTTAACCATCCCATCATGGCCTCCAAACCCTGAGACAGATTATGCAAGCAGTACTTTTTTTTTAATGTACCAAGTACAAAAAGCCCTTGTAAACTACATTCATTACCATCTAAGCTGGGGTGTCCAAACATATGGCCTGTGGGCTGGAACCGGCCCCGGCAAGGCTCATATCTGTCCCACAAGCAACTGGCTCCCTCCTGCTTTCTTTTCTGGGGCTGCTGCTGTGTTGCAGCTCTCTTTCACCTGGCTCCCTCAGTTATTCTCTCCTGCTTCCTTCTCCAGGGCTGCTGCTGCATCATAGCTTGCTTTGGCCCAGCTCTCTCCTGCTTCCTTCTCCATAGCCAGTTTGGTGTAGTGGTTAGGAGTGTGGACTCTAATCTGGGAGAACTGGGTTTGATTCCCCACTCTTCCACATCTAGCTGCTGGTGTGACCTTGGGTCAGTTACAAGTTTTTTCAGAGCTGCTCTCTCAAGAGCAGTTCTCTCAGAGCTCTCTCAGCCCCACCTACCTCACAGGGTGTCTGTTGTGGGGAGGGGAAGGGAAAGGAGATTGTAACCCTTCTTACATAAGAAAGGCAGGGTATAAATCCAGTCTCTTTCTTCTTCTTCCAGGTCTGCTGCTGTGTTGCAGTTTACTTTTGCCCAGCTCCTTCAATCACACAAAAGAGACAAAAAGCCAAGCCTCCCTTCTGTCCATTGACTGAGGTCTCCTCCCCATTCCTCCTCCTTTAGGGAGGAAGGGAAGGTGAGGGAAAAAGAGAGAGAACGAAGTTGGAGTCCCATTGCACCTTTAAGATCAACAAAGTTTTATTCCAAGTATAAGCTTTTGTGTGCATGCACACTTCTTCAGAGGGAGGGAGGGGGGATTCTTCTGACAAGCACAATTTACATTGAGATCGCCCTACTGCTGTTTACTCTGAGATGTGATCACACACACATTTGAAGAGGGTGCTTGGTGAGATTATCGCTCCAGTAATAGGTTTAACAGCGGATGAACTGGTAAATGAAATGGAGTCAGCCTATAGGGCATACTCCAATTACATTAAAAAAATAACCTACCTGGAGAAATAGTGGTCAGGTTTGTAAGAAGACAAACCAGAGATGCCATTTTAAAAGCAACTTCAGCAACTCCACTGAAAATGGGAAATGTAACCATTAAAACCTTAAAGAACATTCCATTTGAAATTAGACAAAAGAAGAAAAATTACAAGGACTTAATTTCTTTTCTTCAAACTAATGGGATATCGTAGAGGTGGGTGGTTTTGGAGGGTGTCATCTTTAAGATCAACGATAGAAGAGAGAAGATAGACTCCACTGTTAAAGCCAAAGAATTTGAGACGTCAGCTGGAGACAGACGAAGAGTCCAAAGAGGAAGAAACGATGTCTAGTGACCTCGGGAACGGAAGAGGATTCTGCGGCAGAAAAGGGTGCAGGACCGGCCAGAGTGGTATATGATTTTAGAGACAGAAAGCCGAAATAAAGGCAGAAGGACTTGGAAAATGGACTTTTGAAGCGAAGAATAAGATGATCAGAGATTTCTCTCATAACAACTAACAAAATAACATATAAATAGTGAATTGTTATAAGCAAGAACTCTACAAGTATATTGTGATACTAAAACTAATTGTACTAACATTTTTACTAACAGTGAAAAGATCTCCTTCTCTTTCATTATCATCAATATCACTGAGTGGATTTTGCCCAGTTTGAAATCAACACATTATGTCACTTGGAGATTCCCCCTCTCCAGTTCTAACAGATGAAGGGGTGGGGGGGAGGAACCTAACAGCGCAGCTTACAGTCTTTATTAGTGGAAAGGAGCAAGAATCCAGTAGCACCTTAAGGTCTAACAAAATTTGTGGCACAGTATGAGCTTTTGCAAGTCACTGCTCACTTCTTCAAGTACAACTAGAACATGAGTCCATTGTTCCTTATATCTTAGAGGGTGGAGTGATTTCAGATGCAGAAGGACAATAGCAGGTGTTGGCGATGAGACAGGAAACCTAAGTCTCCGTTCAATTCAGGAGGATGCGTTGTCTTGAGCTTTATTATCAGTTCCAGTTCAGCAGTCTCTCTTTCTAATCTCCTTTTGAAATTCTTTTGTAAGAGAACTGCTACTCTTAGGTCAGCAACTGAATGTCCTGGAAGGTTAAAATGTCCCCCCACTCGGTTTTTGAATGTTGTGGTTTCTAATTTCAGACTTATGTCCATTTATTCTTGGC